TGCTAGTGGATATTATGTAACCCAGTATATTAATAGGCTTCAGGAAAAGGCTCAAGACTTATGTTATTAGATATATATACTTGAGTGACGAGAAATTTATTTTTTAGTCATCATCTAGTTTGATTATAAAATATAAAAATAAAGTGTTCTAGCTATGAAAAAAATTACACCAAGCTAAATAGTATAAAATGATATAAAATATAGCAGGATGACAATTAAAATGATTTTTAGCAATATGTCATATGAAGGTGTGAAAAAAGTGTCCCAAAACTCCTAATTTTATCCTACTAATAGTTTAGTTCTGTTTTATTGAAGAGTTTGACCTAACTCTACTAACTTTTCTAATTTTTTTAACTTTATTTCTAAATTTTTTATAACATAATATTAAATCTATCTAGTAATTAAATTAAAGTTATATAGTTTTTAAAGATATGCTATTAATACCAAATGATCTCTTTTTAAATATTATATCTAAAGACTTTATTTCAACATCTCTAGCTCAAACTATTCAAAAGTTTAATATTCTATACAAACTTGCTTTTAAACTATTATTAAAATTTTATTTTAAATTAATAAACTTATTATTTATTTTATTTATTTTATTAACTAACCTCTTTGGACAAAGAGCTTTTATTCAAGCTTGTATAAGGAGATTCATAGTTTTAGCCTCAATGGAGCTTCCTTTTATATTAAAAATATAAATAGCTATATATGAAACTTTTAGTTGTATAGTATATACTATAGATCTATACTAAATGCTATCCTATAATTTAACTAAGAATTATTTATTTAAACTCTATATAATGCAAACCTCTATCTATATTCTTAATATATCTTTATTATAGTTATTAGTCATAAGAAGTTTCAGATATTTTTTAATATCTTTAGAACTAATTTATCTTCATGACATTATTATTAGAGCTTTCTATACCTACAATATAGCTAACCTAGACTTTTAGTAACTTACACTATATCTAAAAATAAGTACTTGTGAGCCAAAGCTGCTACTATTACCTACTACTGCCCTTGTTAAGTTTATACAAAACCTATTATACACTTTATAGATTATTTACTATACTTTTGCTTATTTCAAACTTCTAATTTAGATGGTTTAAAATAGCTAGGACCTGCTTCTAGTCTCTATAATTAGTTTCTTTTCCTCTATTACTCCTACCCAACAGTTTAGTTGGTGAAATACTTGCCAACTCATAGACAGAAATTTGTCTAATTAGCTAGCTTGGTAGATTATTTGTAGATCTATATATAATTATTAGCCAATTAAATTACACAATTTGCAATTCATTATTTTTATAATATTATAGCTATAAACTTTAATAAACTAAGTCTATTTAAGAATATTTTAAATATAAAATATAGATTTTATAGATCTCTTATACAACAAGTTTGTCTTGTTTTAAACATCTTACTAGCTTTAAAAAAAGACAACTTTTTTGTTAATAACTACTATTATATTTGTATATTTTAAAATTTAGATATAACTTTTTTCTTTACTTCTTGCAAAAAGTTGTGTTTAAGCCAACCCTTCTTAAATTAAAGATTATTAGAGATTATTTTTAAAGCTAGCTTCTAACATTTCTTTGAAGCTAAGAATGTTGTTTGTTAAAAATAGTTGTATTATATTATATTTTTAAAAAATATTCTAAAATATATAAATAAGTTATTTGGCAATTCATTTGCATTAGCCAATTAAATGAATTACTTCCTATGACTTGTCAACACTTTGGTTCTATTTAGTTTTTCAGTTTTTCAAGTAATGATTCTTTATATAGTATTATTAAAGATCTGTGCTACCTTTCTACTTAGGTCTTGCCAAGTTGGCTTCTGTATTCTTTAATCTATTAGTTTTATATAACTGCTTTACTCAGGTTTTGTGTAAGTCATATATTATACTATAGTTCTACAAACTTCTAGTATTAGCTGGTATGACTATATTATAAGTACAGATCTAATAAGATATAGTCTTCCTAAAGCATTCTATAAATTTGAAGTTTGTTAATAGTGAGATTCAAACTTTTGTTTTGCTCCTTGAGGATGCAACAACTTACCAACTACACTAAGTTACTACATCCTTAATAAACTTATTTATTGTCCGGAGCGTAGTGGAGGACCTAATGGGAAAGTGATAGACCAGATTTTGTATGTAATTATGTCCGCATCTATTTTTAGATCAACTGATCGTTGATTTGACCAATCAGAAAAATACTCTAGATATTTGTACTACAGTATGTAATATAAATATACTATATAAAATTTGCATTTAGATCTTCGTAATACTGTAAAAAATTCATTAAAACAATTAGTTATTGCACGGGTCTTATGTAACAACCTGTGTTTTTTTCATTTACTTATTGGCACGGGATTGTATGTCAGATACCATGCAATAAAGTTATTATATGGGTATAAAATACGGGTTATAAAATACCAAATTTGCACGGGTTACATGGACAACCCGTTATTTTTTTACAACCCATAAAATAACTATAACTTATTCATTTTGTACTACTTTAAAAAAAGTTGTACAGATAATTTTTACTAAAATTTAACAATGCTAGTAACTTTTCTTGAAAGCATTTTACGCATTGTGAAAATTTCAATACTTCTTGATCTGAATTTTATACACAGAAACCGCTTATTTAGATAGCTCTTTGTTCAGTAATTTCAAAATTCATTAATCTGCTCTCTTCAACTAAGCGTTCTTGTATTCTTTTACAATTTTTTATACATAGAAGCCTTTCAAAAGTAAACGGACTTAAAAGTGAACAGACTCGTGATATAGCTACAAAAGATAACCCGGCAGCAAATTCTTTTTTGCCAATATCAATGACAGCTTTCGGTAAAGTTAGCCCTTGCGATTTGTGTGTTGTAATGGCCCATGCAAGTGAAAGTAGAATCTAGAGGCGAGAACATATACCAAACTTACCTTCTCAGGTAAGTTGGACAGGAATAATAGGCACAACTTGAATTCCATTTGAACTCATAATAGCTGGACCATGATATTCATCAAACGCAACAAGAACAGCCGTGGGTAAGGAGGTAGGTCCATCCCTGTGTTTAAATAAAATATCTTCTATTGTTCCCATTGCACTATTAACAAGCCCTTTAGAAATCCAAAGATTTGTATTGAGCATTACTCATGCTTTTTTTGATAATAATAATTCAGCCTCAAGGCTTTTCGCAGTTTCAGAATCATCACGTGAAGCTTCTGCACCCATATGGACAGCACATATCTTAATAATTGGTTGATTTAAGGAAAGAAGTTTAGTAGTATTAACTTCATCAACTTCCTTCCATCTTGTAAAAATATTAGTAACACTAAAAAATTCTTTTCGTTTATTTTCAGGTAGATTTTCTGAAACTGTGTCATCAAAAGCTCCTAATCTGCCTGAATAGATTCACCATTACGTAACCTTAACAGAAGATCTCTAAATCAACATTGTTCATCTGAATTTCCTGCTTGCCGTTGTACAACATCGAGTTTATATACCTTCTGAAATAAATAGTATATTTTATGCCCATCTTCAGATAATGGATTTTCTCTACGGATGTCTTGGGAATACATGGGCAAATCGCATACTGGCGGAAGTTGTCCAAAATCACCAACAAATATAATAGATTTGCCACCAAATAGAGCATTATTATTATTTGGAAATGCTTGACGCAATCACAGGTTGATTATAGCAAGCATACGTCATCCCACCATACTCATCACATCGATAATACTATAGTGTATTTTTTGTAGTTTATTTTGAAGTGTCTTTAACCCGTTTCCTTCAAGATCATAATTTGTACCTGTTATTGGAATAGAGAGTGCCGAATGGATTGTACTCCCTTGGATATTAAAAGCAGAACACCAGTTGGAGCCAGCAAAAGTAGAATATCGTCATTTATATTATTATTTTTTGCTACCTCACGAAGCATTCCTTGGATAGCTCTAATCAGATAAGATTTTCCAGTTCCTGCAGTGCCCATAATAATTATTTGTAATAACTCCGCTATTTGAGTCAAAATTATGCTTGTGTAATGTGATTTTATTCGTTCATATATTATTTTTTGTTTATTGTTTAGAGTTCCAAAATCAATTTCTGTTAAATCCTCATAAACTACGACATCATCACGGATTGCTTGTTGAATAAAGTTCTCAACATCAAGTTCTGGGTATTGTAGCTGACTTTCACCAACCCAGTCATAATTTACATCTATAGCACAGTTACCAAAATCAAACTGATGCATCAGTGTATTTGGAACCATGTCTGCTAATATCATCCAGTCAGGGCGAAGACTAGATCCTTCCTGTGTATCATCCTGCTCTTGCACATCTGAATCGCTATCTTCAACTTCAATATTTTCTATTGAAGATCCAATTAAATCAACAGGATCTGTGGTTATCTCTGAAAGATGACGATTATATAATTCCTCCCATGTGAGCGTTCCATTTTCTGTAAGCTGAGAAATGTCTTTATGGCTAACATGTAGAAAAACTTTTATTCGACAAAAATCTTCCCACTGCGGTCCATTTAGAACTGATGAAGGACGAGGCCAAACACGAATAATATTTTCCTTTTTGCATTTCACCCACTTTCCTCTAACTAACTTATATTGTAGGTGCAGTTTAAAGAGGGAAAGCTCTTGAAGTTCATCAGGTCTGTTCCAATACTTCTGCATTACCGATATATACGTTTTTCTATAACTATTATTTTCATTTTCATTTGCCCCCTATCTCAAAGCAAATGATTAGTTACTTTATTAAGATTTAGAGTAACAAAATTTCTACTATAATGATATAATAGTATTTGTAGAAAAAGATGGCAGGTTTCTTGTGCTGAAATGTTCTGTTCTACCACTGTATGTAGTAATAGTTTCTGGAATGCTTTAGTGGCAGAATCGCCCGGTCTACTATTATGAAGAGCTTCATCCAATACTTCTGAAAAGCCTAAAGATCGTGGTTCAGCTTTACTAGCATATTTAGAAACGTACTGTAAAGCAGTATAGGTTGATAGGATAGGCTTTAGGTCAACATTTGCTTGCCATCCTTGTAGCTGAAGACGGTTATGTGGATTAATTAGAGAATTATTTCTTGCCGTGATTAATTCTATGTGACCATTTTCATTATGCAATACAGTTTCATCTCTTAACTCTTTGGGAAATCCGAACCTACAGAATTGTTCGCCAGTCTGCTTATTAGTTCGCAAGCAATAAGAGGAACTGCAATGTGTATGATGCTGTAATTTATTTATTAGTTCTACATAATCTTGCAAGTCATCATTGAGTTCCTCTACATGTTTTTGGCACAGATGTGAGCAGGTAAAGGTGCATTTAATCTAGAATTAATTGTTGTGACTAACGAATTTAGATAATGCACTACTTCTTTCATTTTTTCTGTATTATTACTTATTTCCTCCCACTCGATATCCGGGGGCTTCACTGCGTTTGCCAATGCCATGTACATGGACACTCCCACGATGCTGCTACTCAAATCGATACCACCAATCTGTAAGCTTCCATTTGGGAATTAAAACTTTCTCAAAAAAATCTTAAATCGCTTTTCAAAAAAACCATGTGGCAATGTGTGGATTTTCTATAAGGTCCTTATGACGACGTCTAGCAGCTTTTTGATCTGTTTCCTCCATAGGACTCTCCCCATTAGGCATAAGTTTATGTAAATCAGGCCATTGCATATCAGCAGCACTGAATGTGAAAAATACCATTCCCTTAGATCCCAATTGCCTTATCATATCAGTAAGTTCAGATCTATAGTGCATTCAATATTGTCGGGTACCACGTAGACCTTCACCATACCTAACAACCCGGTCGGCCATGTGGGTGTCATTTTGCATTAAGTCTATAACCTCATCTACAGTAAGTTGCTCTTCTTCTAAATTTTGCTTAACAAACACACACCCTTCAGATAATGCCCTCTATATCATTAGCGAATTTAATGCAAAATAATGCCATCTCGGATGGCGAGCAAATCGCCCATCTTTATATAGCATTAAATGCTTAAAGTATTCTGCCGATTTTACTTCTCTTATTCGATAAGAACGAAGATCTGCGACACCTCTAGGGAAAAGCGTGGGAATGCTTTTGCCATATATCCAGCGATTTGGAACTCATTAATGGGATCACGTTCACTGTGAGGCCAATCAATTGTTTCCTCATGCTCCAGCCGACCTTGCTGCATTCAACCAAGGGTGCTATTAATTGCACTATCTTCACTCTGCCCAGGTAGTATAGAAGAAACAAAAGATTGCAAAATTAACTCATCCTCGTTTAACTCGTTATCTTCATCTCTAACTGGACTTGTTTCACCTTGATGATCATTGCTGTTATCCATGAGTCATGGAAGTTAATTGACAATAGAACCATTTTCAGGTAAGGATTCCAAAATTTCATCATCTATAGTAATGTCATGATAAAATCTATTATTTGCCTTTAACCATTGAAGTGCCTGAATTATTTTTCCTTTACGGACATTAAAATCACGAAATTCTGGACCGTTAGTAGAATAGCGTTGAACAATTAATACATCCAACGATGATGGATCACGGGGGAGGTGAGTTACAAATTCTTGTAGATCTTGTGGAAAATTAATAACATTTCCATGATATGTGTACTGTCCTCCATGTAAATTATATACTGAAATCACGGGAAATACTTGTGCAATAAGCATTTCCTCAATGTTAGTTAAATTTTTGAGTTCTTGTGGGACTTCCCTATAAAAAAAAAAAAAAGATAATAAGCCATATTACTCTTTATATGTATATTAAGAATTTCATTACTAGGATCCATATTATTCTCTTCTGAAAATTTTTTAGGATTTGTCTTTTCATTATAGCATCGATGACATTCCTCTCCAAAAAGCTCAATAGAAGGGAATCTTTCATTACACGTTTTGCATTGATTATTTTTAAGTTTATTAATCGTATCTCTAAACTTTTGTAGAAGCTTACGATCAGATCTTGAAAAATTATTTTCTGAGGGATCTTCATTTGTATTTAACATGTTTTGAGAGCTTTCTATGGCTTGTCTCTTACGCATATTTGAAGCATTTTGAAGATTCCTCTGAATTTGTTGTTCTTCAGTCTCTAATATACGCTTATTTCGTATGTTATTTACATTTCGTAGACTTCGCTGAATTCACTCCTCCGCAGTTTCACTAGCTTTCTTTTGGTGATATCTATTTTGCATGCTTGCAAGTCGAGCTTTGCGTTCTTCATTGTTCTCTTCTTCTCTCTTTTGTCGCTTCCTTCTACGCTCACATTTCTTATGCATTTCTTCACTATTAGGTCTCTCATTTTTATTATTGCTATTATCCTCACAAAAGGTACGCTGAACGTGAAAATTTTGAACTTTCGTTATATATTAAAAAGCTATCAGAATCTTCTACATTTCTTATAACTTACCATGATTCCGAAGGACTTTATATAAAATAATTTTCTAAGTAATTTGGTTATATTTGAAAATACCGTATGTAAATTCGAGGGACAAATCAAATATCGAAGTGTCATTAACAATTTAATATTTAAGATCATGTATCAGCGCAGTAATTGCGTATCGCAATTCAAATTTCTATATTTGTAAGTTGCCCTTCTTATT